GTGAAGTCTGTCAAGTCTGTCAGTCAGTCAGTCAGAGTGAGGAGTCAGTCAGTCGAGTCAGAGGCAGTCCGAAACAGAGTCGCGTTCAGACAATTACTACTAAACCTGATTGTTCGTACTAACACTTTTCTACCTCTCTGTATATATTCCTGTTTGTAATATATCTGTGTTATTCCATATCCGTCTTCGAGTTCTTCTTTATTGGTTCTACCTTGGACTATCACCGTGGTACAAGGAACCGGGCCATAACAAAAACTTAGTCTGTCTTCTTGTCATTCATTTATTTCCTTTTTATCTTATTTCTTTTGTTACACACGTGACATGGGGAAGATAACGGTTGACCCGAGACTTAAACAGGTTAAGATTGTCGTAATCGTGGAAGTATCCTCTTGGGAGTCGTTCCAACGAATCAGCGGTTTGTCGTAACTTACACCTCACCAATAGAATACGAAGGGAATGAGGGTGATTCGCTACGATGGGCGTGGCATTGCTGGTCATAGCGACTAATTACCCGGTGATCGTATAGAAGCGGGTGTTTTAACGCGATATGGCAGTAAAAGGCCTTTATTGATTTGAATTGCTGTTTAAGACAACGATTTACCAAGTCTATTGCCTGAAGCCAAAACTAAGTTTTTATTTTTTTTTTTTTTTTATCGGAATTTACTGAAGGAGTTTATCTGAGTACACAAGCAATGCACAATAGCAAAATCTGTTCCGTTCAGATCCGGATTAATTTCTGGAATTTCATAAATGTCTGTGGTTTCATTATTATTTTTAAGTTTTATTACACAGATTAAGTTTTTGAATACACCGGATACATTAAGCTGTCAAGTCACTACGAGGACTTCAGACAGACAACAATTTCCTCAAAATATGCACATTACCCAAAAGTGCCGATTTTGGGATGAGTCCAAGTCTCCCCAGCTGATCAAATTAGTCTCACAATTTTAATGAGATTGATCCCAATGCTCCAATCACCACTGGAATCACCTTGACATTCCCTTCCCGCATTCCAAACAATCTTGCCATCTCGACTTTCAAATCAGAATAGGGTGTAATTTTCTCAATCACCTTCTTTGCCATTTTGTACGGCAACATCAATAATAGGACAGAACTTGGTGCTTTTATTTAACACGATAATATCTGGACGGCGATAGTCTGTCTGAAAATCATCGTCCCAAAATATTGTGAGCATTCCAACTTCTTTGTTTTACAAGGCAACATTTTTTTACCAAAAATTTATTGAAATTATTATTATTATTATTATTATTTTCATTTGTGTATGTTATGTTTCCTGCTTTGTATCCTGTAGAGCCAGGTCCAAACTCTGGTCCTTAGGCCCTATAGGAGAATTGTCATTTAATTAATAGCACTTTTCTTAGTTCCTAGTAGGGCGATCTTTTGGGCAACTTGTACATTGATGTTACCTGGGACACTATTCCTTTTCTAACGAGGCCCAGTGCTCCGATTACTATTGGTACCGTCTCAGTCTTCATTCCCCACATCCTGTTAATCTTGATCTCCGGGTTTCTTGTATTTGGACAATTTCTCGATAATTTTTATGGAGGTGTTTCCCTCAGATGGTAATGCTATGTCAATAGACCTACACTTTCTGAATTTCTTGTCTTTTATGATAATATCAGGTCTTTTGGCTTTTATTTCTCTGTCAGTTTGAATTGGCATGTCACAGAGGATAGTTACATCGTTATTTTAGGTAACTGTGTCTGTTTGGTGCTCATACCATCTCTCAGTGATTTCGATTTTGTGCTTCTTTCTAATCTCCCAGTGCACATATATCGCTACCTTGTTATGTCTGTGGGTATATTCGGTTTTTTTTTTTTTTTTTTTTTTTTTTTGCTTGTTCCGGAGATCTTGAGATCATATGGTTGACAGTTTCATCATATTTTCCGCAGATCCTGCATTTCGGGTTAGTTCCATCCTTGATTATTTGACAGTGATTATTATTATTATTATTATTATTATTATTTTGTTTTGTTACACAGCGTGAGTTTTTGGATACACCGGGTACATTAAGTCACAATATCCTTTAAGTCACAGTAAGGACGTGAGACAAACACACAACTCAAAATATGCGCTGTATCCAAAAGAGCCGATTTTTGGAGGACTCCAAGTTGATCAAGAAAGTCACACAGTTTTAATGGCATTGATCCCAGTGAGCCAATCACCACTGGAATCACTTTCGCATTCCTTTCCGGCATTCCAAATAATCTTATGGCAACATATTTGCTTGAACACGTTTTACTTCTCTTTTTACTTTTTTTTTTTTTTTTTCACGACACGCCAAAAGGTTCGGAAAACAACTACCATTCACTAGGACGGTACAACTGCACGTTACCCTTGTGCAAATTAATTAAAACAACCGCTCTAGTTTCCTTTCTTTCACCATAAGGTCAGTTTTAGACCCACTGGAGTGACGGTGTGTAAATCGATTTCTATTTTTTTCCTCAGATTAGGTTATTTGCAGTGGTGTGCAGTAATATGAATCTATTTTCGGGGCGTTTGATACACATTTATTTGAGCGATATCCTAGCATAAAATAAACATTTATTTGAGCGATATTCTTGCATAAAATACACATTTATTTGTTCGATATCCTAGCACAAAATAAACATTTATTTATTAATATATCTAAAATAAAATACACATTTATTTGGTCGATATCCTAGCACAAAATAAAATTTTATTTTTCATTTATTTTTTCGATATATCGATTATTGCACAAAATAAACATTTATTCTAAACTTAATAAAAAAATACAATTTATTTGGGCGATATCCTTGCATAAAATACACATTTATTTGGTCGATATCCTAGCACAAAATACACATTTATTTGGTCGATATCCTTGCATAAAATACACATTTATTTGGGTGATATCCTAGCATAAATTACACATTTATTTGGGCGATATCCTTGCATAAAATCAGAAGAAAAATTAAAATTATCACTACGTAAAACGATTTTATTAATTTTCATTAAAAAAAATTATATGCCTCAGCCCTTCGTGATATAGGCGAATATGGCTCTCCACAACTTTCTCTCTTGTGTGTCTCTCAGCAATTTATCTCCCTTTACTAATGGCAACGTAAACCCCCGTTCCACGATTCATTTAATAGGAGTAGATAAGCCCGCTTATCGTCCGGTTCACACTCCTCCCCGGTCTTTTGAACAGGAGTGTAAGTTCCATGCCTTATTTCCTATTTAGGATTGGCTTTCCGGTTCCTAAACTCTGATTTTTATTCACTATTTACTTCATTTAATTTTTTTTTTCTCTGCTCCACTGATAGGAGTAGATAGCTTCGCTTATCGCCCGGCTCAGACTTCTCCCCCGTCTTTTGAGCAAGATTAGAGGTTTATCTCTTGTTTCCTGTTTAGGAGTGGGTTACCGGTTCCTTCTAAATACGCTAATATAATTCCACACAGTAACCCTCTACCTCGTGTGGCTCTTGGGCCTTTTATTGTATAAAAAAAATAAAAATTCACAGAAGCTCGTCAGTTAAGTGGCTCACTGCCTTTCCCTATCTCTCTTGCCGCCAATATGCCCGTGAGTGTTAAGTTTGCCAAGTCTTCCTTCCTCATTATTCCAAGGCAATTTCAGCTGTCTTTTTCTGAATCTGAGTAGAAGTGTTCTTTCTGGTGTCATTTGCTTTAAGAATTCCTTATTGCTTACTCGCTCCGTCCATAAAATTCTCAGAATCCTTCTGTAGAACCACATTTCGACTGCTTCTATATTTTTTTTTCTCGTCCTTGAGAAGATTGTACAATATCCAGTGCCATATATGAGGACTTATATCATATTGCAATCCAGCATTCTTTTCTTTGTTCATAACGAATTTTTCTCGCACTTCTCGCTTGTGGTACTCACATCCCGGCTCCATGTTTTCCAGCCAATTTTGATCTTAAAAAATTTAATTTCAAGGCAAATAGTTATCTACTGTCTTCTTGATTACTCTTCTATTGTTTTCGCGCCTAAATAATTTCTCACTCTTTTTTTTTTTTTTTTGTTATTTCACACTCAGAGAGAAATTATTTGCTTTTTAAATTCTAATTTATTTACTTGCTTAATAAAATCCGTCCATAAAATTCTCAGTATCCTTCTGTAGAACCAAATTTAGGGTTATGTTTCCCAAGCCCTGTTTCATCATGTGTCCAAGGCAATTTCAGCTGTCTTTTTTTTTCTGATTCTGAGTAGAAGCATTCTTTCTGGTGCCATTTTCTTTAAGACTTCTTTGTTACTTACTCGCTCTGTCCATGGAATTTTCAGTATTGCAAAAAAAAGTTTCTGTCGACAGGTGAAAAATCAAAAAATAATTGTTTATGCCAAAAAAAAAATAAAATTCAGTTTAAAGATAAGAAATTTTAAAAAAACACGAAAATTATGAATAAATATGGAAGCAAATGAGTTCACTAAAAAGATATTACTCAGATAGACCTAAACAAAAAATTAGTTACAACACCCGATATTCGCAAGAGGTCACTCATCTAGTTACTAACCAGGCTTGACGTTGCTTAACCAGTTATCGTACGAGAACCTGTGTTTCAAATTATGATGGCCGTAAGCCATACCACCCGCACAACAACAAAAAATACACACACACACATTGTATTTTAATGCTGCATCCTCCTCCTTCAGTCCTATAGACTCTACTGAGAGCTTGATTTTCTGGTTTATTTTTTACGGTTTATCAACCTTTTGTTGGTTATTTAAATCCAGGAATTTGTTTTGTTTTTCAAAAAAGAAAGAAAGGGAGATAATAATGAAATGGAACTGATACCAAGTCTAACTTTTAAAAAAATAGCGGGAGGGAAGAAGAAAAGTAAATTTTCTTTTCTCCAAGACTATTTGTCCTAATTAACAGCACCTGGTGTTCCCAAGGAAAGGAAAAAAGGTAAAGAAAGGTGGTTTGATGTTGCTTAACTTCGGTGATGATAGGAGAATCAGTGATTTAACATGATATGAACGTAAGCCAAAAAAAAAATTAAAAAAAAAAAGAAATAAAAAAGGAAAGGAAAGAAAAGAAAAGGAAAGAAAAAGAAAAAGAAAAAAGAAAAGAAAAGAAAAGAAAGGAAAGAGAAGGAAAGGCAAGAAAAGACAAGGAAAAAAGGAAATAAAAGAAAAGAAAAAAGGAAAGAAAAGAAAAGAAAAAAGGTAAGAAAAGAAAAGAAAAAAGAAAAGAAAAAAGGAAAGAAAAGGAAAGAAAACAAAATAGAAATAAAAAAGGAAAGAAAAAGAAAAAAGGAAAGAAAAGGAAAGAAAAAAGGAAAAAAAAGAAAAGAAAAGAGGAAAGGAAAGAAAAGTAAAGAAAAGAAAAGGAAAAAAGAAAAGAAAAGAATAGAAAAGAAAAGAATAGAAAAGAAAAGAAAAAAGGAAAGGAAAAAAAAGAACAGAAAAGAAATGGAAAGAAGAGAACAGAAAAGAAAAGGAAAAAAAGAAAAGGACAGAAAAAAGAAACGAAAAAAGGAAAGGAAAGAAAAGGAAAGAAAAAGAAAAAAAAAAGGAAAGAAAAGAAAAAAGGAAAAAAAAAAAAAAAAAAGGAAAGAAAAGGAAAAGAAAAAAAAAAAAAAAGAAAATAAAAGGAAAGAAAAGAAAAAAAAAAAAGAAAAGAAAAGAAAAGAAAAAGGAAAAGAAAAGAAAAAAAAAAAAAAGAAAAAAAATGAAAAGAAAGAAAAAAAAAAAAAGAAAGAAAAAAAAGAAAAAAAAAAGAAAAAAAAAAAGAAAAAGGAAAAGAAAAAAGAAAAGAAAGAAAAAAAAAAGGAAAGAAAAGAGAAAAGAAATGAAAAAGGAAAGAAAAGAAAAAAAAAAAAAGAAAGAAAAAAGAAAAGAAAAGAAAAAAAAAAAAAGAAAAAGAAAGGAAAAAAAAAAAGAAAAAAAGGAAAAAAGAAAAAAGGAAAAAGAAGAAAAAAAAAGAACAAAAAGGAAAAGAAAAAAGAAAGAAAAAGGAAAGGAAAGAAGAAAAGAAAGGGAAAGAATAAAGAAAAGGAAAGAAAGAAAAGAAAAAAAGAAAAAAAAAGAAAAGAAAAAAAAGAAAAAAAAAAAAAAAGAAAAAAAAAAAGAAAAGGAAAAGAAAAAAAAAAAAAAAGAAAAAAAAAAAAGAAAAAAAAAAAACAAAAAAAAAAGAAAAGAAAAGGAATGGAAAGAAAAGGAAAAGTAAGAACAGGAAAGAAAAGAAAAAGAAAGAAAAGAAAAGAAAAGGAAAGGAAAGGAAATAAAAGAAAAAGAAAAGAAAAGTAAAAGAAAAGAAAACGAATTTTGACTGACAATAGACTATAAGTCTGAAAACAGATCTTCGAGTTTGCAGAATGAAAGTTTCCAAATGTTGATACAAATGGAGAGAATATATTCCTCGCGACTGTCTAATATTATTGAGAGAATAGAATACACGAAGGGCCTTCAAGAATTCTGTGTCGAGCTGAAGAGACTTTTTAAAAAGAAACATCTGCTGGACTTTTTCGCAGAGATTCCCAACTGGCTGTTATTTTGAGCACATCAAAGCCGTGAATATTTTGTCAAAGATTGACATTATTTAAGAGCGTAGAGGCGTCAACTCAAAAAAAAAGATGAATAATTGAAAAAGTATCAAAAAGTCTCTTACACACACACACACACACACACACACACATATATATATATATATATATAGAGAGAGAGAGAGATGAATGTATAGGTACATATATGTACGTATATATATGCATAGATATATATACATATATATATATATATACATATATGTATACACACACAAACACACACACATATATATATGAACATATATGTATATACATTTAGATATACATACGGAGAGAGATGTGCGGAAACTAATGTCAATACTGAGTGGCAACGGTCTGTTTCATGCTTGAACGTAATCTTAAGGCCTGCCATCTTTGAGGATGGGATGACACCTACAGTCTCTTTATTTAAGAATTTATAGGCGTCATCAAAGAGGAATAATAGAATAGAAGTATGCCTAACACAAATTATATATATATATATATATATATATATGTGTGTGTGTAAATTGTGTGTGTGTGTGTGTGTGTGTGTGTGTGTGTGTGTGTGTGTGAAAATATAGAAAATAAAAAGAACTCGTTAGGTAAATGCAATCAATCCATCTCTTTAGTTTTTTTTGTTATTTATTTTTAAAAAAAATAGTGCTCGATTTACAAAATAGAGCATAAATATAATTATTTCCCAAAAAATAATTGATTCCAACATTTTGCTACATATTTTGTCTCATGTTTCAAAACAAGAGCCGAAAACTTCAATATAATTATTTGAATTAAATTGAATTAAAGTAAGCTCTGTTCCATCTTCAAATGAAATTTTTATTGGAATACTTTATTTCTGAAATTTACGTGTTTTAATAGCATATTCATTATTGAAATCAAAATTTCCATGATAACAGCCAGAGCGATTGTTTAAATAGGGAGGGATGTTGTGTGTTAATAATTTGTATCAGTATAGAGTTACATTCATAGATGTCAAGTCAGGTTAAGATAAAAGGGGTGTCTAAATTTAAAACGGAAGATGTTTTCGCCTAGTCTGGTTTACGTGTCTATGGAAATTTTTTTTTTTTTTTTTTTTTTATTAATCTTTCTGAAAGGGTTTGTGTATATAAAAAAACTGCCGTAACATTTGTTTTTTTGACGACTTCATAAAGGGTTATCTTTTTGTAGGGTATTTAAACTATTTATTAGGGCTATGGATTATAAAAATTATTTTATTGTATGTTTTTTTTATGCTAATTATTCAATCAAAAAAATTTGATGATGTAAAGAAAAAAACATTAATCATGTCTATTGTTTAATAGATTTTTTATTATTTAGAAACTTAATAATGTGCAGTTACTTAAAATGGAGGCACAAAAAGGCATGGGTCATTAAAAGTTTTACAAGTTCTAGTCCTGTTTATAATTTTCCATTTTACTCAAGGTGTCCTATTCATTTCCTTCAAATATATTTTGTTTTGAATAATGATGTTCTTAAAAATAAAATGTTGGAATATATATATATATATATATATATATATATATATATATATATATATATATATATATATATATAATATATATAAAAAAAAAAAAAAATACGTTAGAATAATAGATACAAATTGAAGTAAAATTCTGTTTATAATAAACAGTTTTAACATTTACCGGCCTGAATAATTGAAATTTAGAAAAAAAAAAATATTGCGCATTCCTGAACAGGAATCGAAAAAAAAATTTGTATCCTACGGAACTCTCATATAGAAAAAAAACCTTAAAAACTAAGGCGCTTCCTCTGTGGCTAAGTGTTATAGCACGTGAAAGTTACAACGTTTCTGTGTTAAATAAGGTTAAAAGAAAAAAGAGGAACAAATTTTATATTCAAAAAAAGGACATAATTTATATATATATATATATATATATATATATATATATATATATATATATTTATTATGTTAATTATATACTAATTTAAATCTAGTATATCCATTTAAATTCTAAAGAAATGAATACAAAGAGAATCAGTTCAAAAGCGATTTGCAAAAAACCAACTTAATTTACAAATTCAAATGCCCTTTGAAGATTGTATTTCCAACGATTTTAAAAAATATTTACGTTGGTACACCACAAACTCGATTTCTCGACCCTTGACACTACATTTGAATGAAATTCTCTAACAAAGGCATTTAAAACAACATGCCTGGCCGTATGCACACAATTCCTTAAAATCCTTGTAAAAAAACACAACTATACTCAAACATGAAAATTCCTGGGAATTTTGAAATAAAAAATTTTGAAGCTATATACATAAAACAGTTAAAAAACCTAACCTAAAACAAAATAAACTTTGAAATCTCAACAAATATTCTTAAATGTCTATAATTGGTAACAGAAACCATTATTGGTTTATACCAACGGCTTCCAAAGGCCTTATTTGGAACTTCTCGAATTTCTCGCGAATTTATCAATTGACCAAATGAACTGCGGTGCGATTTTCGCTTCCAGCGTCTAAATATGCACGTTTTTTATCGCATGATCTTGGAAATCATCCATGTAAACAAAAAAAAGACTAAAACAAAATTCCTGTCCGTGTAAATTTAATATATTGTAAATTTAATCAAAACTAAATCTTTGATAATGGTTTATGTAATAAAGCTTAGATTGGATTAATGAAAAAAAAATATGGATCGATATTGTGATTTTCCTTCTTCGTTTAATGATAATGTTTATTAAGCTTATCAGACGTTATGAAAAGAATTTACATAAAATAAATATACAACACTTGTCTATATTATTTAATGAAACATGTATGAAAATTAGTTTGATAGTTTTTTTTTTTATTCCCTTGTTAATGTTTTGTTCAATAAGACCATCCTCCGATCAACAGAAAACAATTAAGGAAAAGTCGTTATCATGGATAACCTTATCGTCGTTATCATGGCAACATTATAGTCGTTATCATAGCAAATTATAGTCGTTATCATGGCAACCTTATATTCGTTACCATGGCAACATTATAGACGTTATCATGGCAAACTTATAGTCGTTATCATAGCAACATTATAGTCGTTATCATGGCGATAATTATAGTCGTTATAATGGCAACCTTATAGTCATTATCAAGGCAACCTTATAGACGTTATCATGGCAACCTTATAGTTTTTATAATGGCAACATTATATACATTATCATGACAACCTTATAGTCGTTATCATGGCAACATTATAGTCGTTATCATGGCAACCTTGCTACTTAGAAACGCTGTTGTTAATTTGAGTTTTTTCTTTTTTTTAAATTTAACAGACAATAAAATTAAAAATGAATATTGTGAATTAAATACATATGCGAACGAAGGTTGCGCTAGTAACCATTTCTCCTACATTTTCTTTTCAGTTATTTTGATGATTTTATAATTGAATGAAACGTTGGCAACAGAATCAACATTTAAACATCTAAGCAAATTTTCATATATCCCATCTTTTATATCTACGTACCCAGTTCAGGTCTAGGGTTAAGCGTTAGCTTCCTTCAGGTATACTGAAAAAAAAACTCTGCCTCTTACCTCTTACTCTTTAACCCTCTGCATTAAGTGGCACTCGGGCCTTGTACAGGGAGACAATTTTTTTTAAAAAAAAAAAGAAATATTTGTTAAAGAATCATAAAAAAGGGAAAAGTCATCCACTGAGCAATGGCGGTCAACTGAATTCTTAAATCGTCTTGAGCTGAATACGAATAAAAAATGAATATTTGTTGATAATAATAATAATAATCGAGCAAAGACAACCGACCAGATACAGAAACAATGGCATGATAAACCGCTTCTTGGCCAATACTCTGCCCGTACCAAACAAGCTGACGTAGACAAAATCCGTACTCATCAGTGGCTACGTAGTGCACGGTTGAAAGCTGAAACTGAAGGTTTTATCCTTGCTGCACAGGACCAATGCTTGTTAACTAGGAATTATCAAGCATATATACTAAAAATATTGTGTCAGCCCAAAATGCAGATTCTGTGATAAATATCCAGAAACAATTGATCATCTTTTATCAGGTTGCACGATATTGGCACCCACTGAATATAAAACCCGACATGACAGAGTGGGCCAATATCTGCACTGGAAAATCTGCAACTTCTACGGGAAGGAAACTGAAAGAAACTGGTATGAACACCACCCAGACCCGGTTACGGAGATAGGACCTGTTACAATTTTATGTGGGACTACACAATACACACTGACAGAACAATCAAAGCCAACCGCCCAGATATTGTTATTAAAGACCACAAACAAAAAAGTGCCTCCTTATTGATATGGCAGTCCCTGCAGACTGCAATGTATCTTTGAAGATATTCAAAAAGCTGTCAAAATACAAGGACCTTGAAATAGAAATCTCAAAAATGTGGCATATGGGAACATCAACAATCCCTGTTGTAGTTGGAGCCCTAGGATTGGTTGGAAAAGATTCCAGTAGACTAATTGAAGGGATTCCTGGAAGTCCATGCCTCAAAGAAATACAAAAAATTGTTCTGACAAGTACAGCCCACACTTTACGAAGGGCTTTATCTATGTAATTTTTTTTTTTTTTTTTTTTTTTTGTCAGTGGAAAGTGTCATGATGCCATTTCTAACCTTAGGTCTCTGGACGGGACCCGGAAAGAAATGTGTACACACCAGAAATCAAAGGAAATAAAAGCAATAATAATAATAATATTAATAATGGGGGGGTGCGCGTGAGCGAAGGTAACGAGCCGGACGGTACTTCGGACCGAACTCGGTTGTTCAGTTTTCCATTATGAGCCGTTATGCATACATCAAGCGCGCATCCAAATTTACAACACCTGGTATACCCAAGGGGACACTCTTCTAGATACTGACCATACTCGACGTTGCTTAACTTCGGTGATCGGACGGGAAACAATGTTTCGAAGTGATATGTCTGTGAGCTGAAATTCCTCGAGAATTATTCCAACCGTATTTTTTTTTTTTTTTTGTAGAGATGATTCATGAATTTCTTTTGTTTTTAAATATGCGTTTTTTTTACAGAATCTAAATTAAATCAGTTAGATTATATAGCCAAAGCACATATTAAGAAATAAAAAAAATATTTTAAATTTAAAATTCTCAGCCTCTCTTTCGTTCCTGCGCATGTGCAGTCGCATTGTGGGCGTCTAAGAATTAATGTGGAGATATGGAAGTCATCAAAACAGGAGTTTGTTTACTTGCTTCCAGGTGGTTATCTTCAAATAACGTACTTAATCCAAATATGCACCAATTTATCCCCTTTTAAAAATGCATGGAAAGATAATTAATATAAAAGTATATATTGCATGTACTGATGAAAAATGTATATCTCTCAAAATAAAATATTCAACAATATTCAAAACTTCATAAGTTCCTAACAGAAAGTCTTTAGAATGTATATATATATATATATATATATATATATATATATATAGTTGAGAGGTTATAGTATTTCAACGACAGAAAAGTGTGTATATTAAAAAGAAGAGATTTTTTTTAAACGTTTTTGGTTTAATGTGGATTTTAAAACAAAAATATTATGCTTTTTTTCCATAGATTTTACTACACGTGTTTCTGGTCTCAAAACCGTCATCAGGTAAAGGGTGACATTTTCACATATTATTAAAAATAATTAATTTTTTTTCTCCTTTATGTTTTTCGATGTTACATATTCTCGATATGAGACATTCTCCCTTTTTGTGTGTTAGTGATCGAATGTCTAAAAAGGAAAAAAATTAATTATTTAAAATAATATGAAATCTCCACCCTTTACTGATGACGGTCTTGAGACCAGAAACCCGTATAGTAAAATTATGGAAAACAAAAATAATATTAAAAATAAATCCACATTACAACCAAAAACGTTTGCAGCATCTCTCTTCTTTTTATATATATATATATATATATATATATATATATATATATATATATATAACAACTGTTTCGCTGTATCACAGTTTCTGAGCGTGACTAGACGTCCGATTGCATCGAAAGCCGACTGATTTGACATTACTCAGATAGCTAGGCCATCGTCGAACTTTTTTCTATCCGAAATACGCCAGGGTCTCGGAGAAAAGTAATGCTTAATAGCAGTAGGAGCCGCTGTTTTTTTTCCTTTTCTCGAGAGCTCAACCGGCAGACAGACTTTTTCGCTGCATCACAGCTCCTCCTAGACGTCCGATTGCTTCAAGTCGGGATCGAAACATCACTCAGATATCTTACCTGTAGGCTATCGTCGCACGGCAGAAGTGGGTCAAATATAATAACAAGAAAACTACTCAGAGGCTGACACACTTACTGGCCCATTGATGGGAAGGTCACCTTCATATGTCCGAAACTCCGCCCACTTCGTGGAAATAATCAAAGATTCCCCCATCCTATCCAACCAGGTGGGCGTGGTGAGTTTGTTCACCAAGGTACCCACGGAGGAGGCATTCTCAGTAGTCAGAAACAGATTGGCCTCTGACTCATCCCTAGAAGAACGGACCAGTATTCCAATAGATAATCTGATGGAGATGCTGACTTTCTGTACACAAACGACACACTTCGGAATGGGATCACACATATATCGACAGGATGAGGGCTTTAGCAATGGGCTCGCCAAAGAAACCAGCAAATGGCGAATATATACATAGAATACTTTGAGGAAATGGCATTAGAATCTATATCTCTAAAGCCAACTATATGGTTAAGGTACATAGATGACACCTTCATACTCTGGTCCCACCAGGAAGATGTTCAGGTTCTACTGGACCATGTGAACTCAATAAGATCTTCGATACAGTTCACGGTGGAGAAAGAGAGTAAAAACACAACCCCACTCCTGGATGTTCTAATATCTCGAATACAGCATGGGTTCAAGACATCCGTATACCGTAAACCGATATTCACCGGACAATTTCAACTCCTACCATCCATACAGCGTAAAGAAAGGGATTGTCCGCTGCTTATAACACTGAGCAAAAGTCATGTGGCGACAGATAGATAAAGGGTTAGTATAAGTAGTACCCTACAACGTAACAACTACCCTGGGTACATGGCAGCAGCCCCAATAAACTGGGATAGACGAATACAAGATGAGGACAACAACACTCAGAAAACAGTCTGACTGCCTTATGTGAAGGGGTTATCAGAGAAAATACAAAGGATCTGCGGTCCATATAACATCAGGACAACCTTCAAAAGCTGGAAGGCACTTCGCAGATATCCCGAGTAAGAACATCATTGGAAAATTCGTAAACTTAAGGAATCAGCACATATGCTAGGCTACAAAAATCTCTTGAGCCGACCAAGCATAGAAATGAATGCAATATGGGAACCAATAATAACGAGTGCCAGAGAAAAGCAATAATAACAACGAAAATTGCAATATGAGCTCTGGTAAAAAAAACACAAATGATAACAGCAAAAATTGCAATATGAGCAGTGGTAAAAAAATGGTTGCAGTATACATTAGGTTTATAAATACCCAGTAATTCATATACAGATGTCCTCAAGGACACATGGCACAGGGAATAAAAGGCGTTAGTTAGATCCAGTGACAGGACCCAAAGAGTTGTGAGTTCAATACCTGGATAAGGCAGTGGAGAACTTGGAGAGGTGAATTAACAGGAGATAACTGACATCCATTAGACATGGCACGTGGAACTAGAACAGTCTACTCCAGCGACATTCCAATCACCTGAAGAAGGCCGGAGCGTATAACGGCCGAAATGTTGTGATAAATATGGCGACAAAGATAAGGACAATAGTACGAATAATGTAAATAGTGTAAATAATACCTAGATACCTAATAGTATAGATAGATAATTAACAGATAGATAGATAGATAGATAGATAGATAGATAGATAGATAGATAATGGAACAGACTGAGATAGATAGTAGATAATGGAACAGACTGAGATAGATAGATAGATAGATAGATAGATAGATAGATAGATAGATAGATAATGGAACAGACTGAGATAGATAGATAGATAGATAGATAGATAATGGAACAGACTGAGATAGATAGATAGATAGATAGATAGATAGATAGATAGATAGATAGATTGATCTTTAAGGATTTAGATATTAAACGTTATTCAGAAGAGGTATCTTGTCGGAAATAATTATAATAGATAAACAATGAGAGAATCAAAAGAAATACAAAAAAAATTTCATGGATAAATTTGGCCATCAATAAAAGCAGAACCGTGTTAATGATTTGTTTTTGAACAAAACAACGACTGCCAAATAAGAACACACACACACACACACATACACACACACACACAGGGATATATATATATATATATATATATATATATAATGAATGACAAAGGTTTCCAAATTAAGATCGAAAACATTCCTAGCACCCACGTAGCCCCGATACGCTGCCAGATTTCTGTCTAATGAAGTGGAGTCTTTTTTTTCTGGTTTTACAACGTGAAATAATAATTCTCTGCACCCGCTCCCTTCAAATTCGGAGAACTGAGGAAAAAGAAGGGAAAGAATTCGCGTGCCTATTTTTCTTCTTTGGACCAAAAAACAAATCTTCACAAAAGCATTGTTTCAGCCAAGAAGGAAGAAAGAATCTTAGATGAGCCAAATTGAAAAATTTTTTTACAAAATGAAAACAAAAATTAAATTACTCAGACAAGAATGTCTGAAGTCATCTGAAAGGTTTCGTTTCAGTTCCTAGCGACCAACGTTGAAGTACTCGCAAGTGTAAGATTACTCGCCAATTATATTATTGGCTTCTAATCGATGAATGGAACTTAAAAAAATTTTTAAATAATGCATTTCCCCATAAAACTAAAAGTTATTTCAAACTATCTCTCTTCGTTTACTTTTGAACGTATGCAAACCATACTGCCCTTTTTTTATTTTGAAAAATTCGCCTTTTATTTTAAACATATTATTTCGTGTCAGATCATTTAATCTGTTGTATGAACATTTCCTCTTTCTACCAATACGTTAAAACTACGGACTTTAAGAATTCTGATTTATTTTCCTGAAACGAAATTTAAGCGCAGTACTAGACTGGTGTCGAGATCTCATCAATTTCCAGTTGGGCCGGCTAGTTGTAACGGTAAATTATATGCTAACAGTTTCTTTTCTTGCACTTCTCGCTTGTGGAACTCCCTCTCGGCTCCATCTTTTTCAGCCAACGTTAATGAGCAAAAATTTAAATGCAATGTCAATCGCTATCTACTGTCCTTCTGATTACTCTTTTCTCTTCCCGCTCATTATTAATGTTTTTGTCTCTAATTCTTTATTTTATTAAAGTGGATCAATGTTTTTAAATAATTTCTTTTCTCTCACTCCTCGCTTGTGGAACTCCCTTCCGGCTCCACGCTTTCCAGCCAACTTTAATCTGCAAAAATTTAAGTCCAATGTCAATCGCTATCTACTGTCCTCCTGATTACTCTTTTCTCTTCCCGCTCATCGTTAATGTTTCTGTTACTAATTCTTCCACGCCCTGTAAGCCCTTGTGTCTTAGTGGCTTTACTCCCTTGCATGGGGTGATAGCGATTTTTAAAAAATAGCTACTGACACAATTTCAAGCGTGTAAAATCGTCAATGTCTTATTTTGTTTTTGTTAAAATTACCTGTGTCTTTCTTCGCCATTATCATCTTTCATCATGGCGTGGGTAAATCTTGTTTAACCGGTAAAAATACGATCCATTACTTCGAGCGATGAAATGTCTCTGCTTCTTACTTGCTTCATTTACACAGAAAGGGGTCCACCCCCCTCCACCTCCACCATTACCCAAAAATCTGGGAATTGGCTTATATGTTTAATTTGCTGGAAGAACATTTCCTCTTCATGATAATACGTTAAAACTTCGGACTCTGAAGAAATCTGATTTATTTTCCGGGGCCACTCTCAGAGAGTAAGCGGTCATTGCCGCTGGGAAAAACTCAGCCA